TCCCTTAAATAATCAAGTTTGCCAAAAACTTTAATCTGCCACTGAGAAAGTCAGAACTGTTTTATATTCGGTGATATTTAGCTATTCAGTCACATGTAATCATATATGCAAAAAGAATGGCAGCAACGCATAAATAATAGTTATTCCTTAGTAATGGAACTGCCGGAGATTTTAAAAATCTTTGGTTGGAATCGTCTTATTTTCTAAAGTAAATATATGTTGTAATTTGAATGGTGGTATCCACTGCCCACTATACAAGCTCCAGGCCGTCACTTCAAACCCCATATTTCCTGGTAAAAGATTTTCCCCAATTCCCTCAGCCTCCAACATAACCAAGACGATCGCCATCTCACCAGATGTTTCTGGTTCCTTCTGACCTGACAGTTTTCCAGTGCTCTTGGGAGGCACTGAGGGTGCTGCAAGGTGATGAGTCATGGTTAGTAATCATGAGTCATGATTAGTGATCCCTAGGTGTCAGCCCTTGGAGTGCTCAGCGTAGAAGGAAGGAAGAAAGTCCCACTCATACGGTCAAGCAATCTACTGACCTCCACCCTGGGTGCTGGCAGAGTGAAGTCCCCTCTCACATGAAGACTGAGTGTTTGATGAGGTTTAGTTACTGAGGATCAAACAGCAACCCTTGCAAAGATTCTTCAGACAAACCAGAGAAAAAATTATTAGGTATGGAGGTGATGAAACAGTTCTGTATCCTGATTGTGGTGGTGGTTAAAATTCATAAAGCTGAACAGAAGTACACAAGGTCAATTTTCCTGCAGGATAATAATTTAAAAACTAAAATTAAAGCAACATTAAAGTCATGGGAAAAACTAGTTCCACATTCCTCCAGGATAAGAAGACTCATAGTCTTTAAAAACTATATAAAAAGGATCCGCCTGATTTTCACTCTCTGGGAAAAAAAGGTTGTATTGCATCCCGGATAAGGTGTCCTCTCTTTAGACTAGGGCTAAATGCCACAAACAAAAAAGCCGTAAGAACACTGACTATCCATATCAAAAAAAAAGAAAAAAAAAATCAAACACCCCTATCTTGCCACATATAAAATAATGTTAATTTTTAAATCCATCCCATTATTCCAATGGAATATCTATTTCCTCAATTTTGCCCTTGTAAAACACAATTCTGTTAACATCCAACATTGTGGCCAATACCTAGCTCATTGTTTGCCATATCACAGGCATGCAAGAAATTTTTGTTAAATTAATAAATCATATTTGCCCCCAAATTGATATATTCTGATGTAGTCAACACAAGGCCGAAATTTCTCCCAGAATCACCCAATAAATTATTTCTCACTAGTGTCACCAGCGACCCTGTACAGCAAATGCAAGTGAAACAAACCCACGAACGTGTGCACTCAACAGTCTGTGCCCATCCATCCTCACGTATTTCGGGTGTGGGCTGGGGTCTGGTTCTACTGCTCCAGCCTTTTGGGAGGATAAAAGGTTAATCAGGGGGAACACTGTGATCTTAAGGACTATATTTAAGAATGTTAAACATTCCATATTTTAAGAGTGGACAAAGAAAAGGAAAAATATAATTTTAATTACCAAGCACCTAGGGTTTTCTCTTGCTTTTCCTCAAGTGTTGTCAGTTCACATAAAACACCAAATCTACCAATTCTATTTAGCATTGTCAGGATGCCTGTTTGATCAAAGCACTGCCCCTACTTCCAGAAAGGAAAACGAGAGAATCCTTCTTCAATGCTGTCACATCCCAGAGGCCGGGAACCTGAAATGAACATAACCTTTATAATCTCATCCCAACTGTAAGAACTCTAAACTCTCACTATTATATCTCTTTGCCTTTCGGCTTAGGGAAAATCATGCTGCTGACTTAAGGCGAAGAGTGATGAATGAGTGGTTCTGGTTAGTTCAGAACCTCATCATCCTTTCCCAGGCAAACTGTTGATCTATTTCTTGCTTTTCCAGAACCAAGCCCATGCCGCAGCCACTGGCAGAGAAGTTTTATTATGGGTAAGCAATCAGTGGAATGGGGTGGAAATCTCCAAACAGTTCTTCCATCTGTGACATCAATTCTGTTTGGGAGCAGAGGTGATAGGCCTGTGTGTTTGCTTGAGTGTTTGCTCTGCTTCACAGAGTATAGACATGCCCGGTGCATCACCCTGCCTATTCACCGCACACTCTAAGCTTGCTGAGGTTCGTGTCATAAATGCAACTATAAACCTGGCCACGTTTATTGTGTGTCCCAATTGCCTTCTCTTTTTAACAAGAGGAACTGTCCTTTATTGGTCCCTCTTTCCTAACACGTTTGAGAAATTTTCCTCCAGGTTTGAAGCATTCATTCATTTTCCTTTGAAAGCCTCTAGATGCATTTTTCAGATCAGCCACTAGATGCCCAGATGCCAAAATAAAACTCTAGCAGCTTTTCAGAGGAAAACAATGGTTTTGTATTTTAACAAAGATAGATTATTTCAGCCGTGCTATCAAAAAGCCTGGGCAAGGCTTTTGTATACTCAAGGAGTTTTGTTTTGTTTTTAAAATGTACTGAATAATGTAATTATACACATTTGGGGGGAAGGGTTTTCTCAAACCAAGAATTATTAGAAATAAAAAAGCCCAGGGGCGCCTAGGTGGCTCAACTGGTTAAGCATCTGACTTCAGCTCAAGTCATGATCTCACAGCTCATGAGTTCAAGCCCTGCGTCGGGCTCTGTGCTGGCAGCTCAGAGCCTGGAGTCCACTTCTGATTCTGTGTCTCCCTCTCTCTCTGCCCCTCATCCACTCACACTCTGTCTCTCTCTCCTTCAAAAATAAATAAACATTAAAAAAAAAAAGAAATAATAAAGCTCAGAAGCTGCCAATACCTCACTGATGATATAAAGAAGAAGAAAAAATGCCTTAAATCACAGTAGCTAAGAAGCTTCAGTATTCATGGCCCTATTAGAAAGTACTCAACCAGCTTCACTCCCCAGCTTCTCTGCAGCAGCACCTAGAACACTAGGGTCTGAACTCCAGCAGAGAGCGAGGTAAACCAGGACCTTGAAGGATCCCCGATGTAGGTGGAGCTAACGTCTTAGTTTCATTGTCAGTGCCCTTTTTATTGGCATTTTCTGTGTCTGTTCATTTGGAAGATGAATGTGGCCACCACATGGCCAGAGGAGCCTCAACTTTTGCCATAGGAAAGTCTCGTACTGTCTCCACACTTCGGGGTCCAGGCCAAACTTCCTCTTTGGCCTTGGAGAGAGGAGGAAGCCATTTAACCCCTTCATGTTAAGACTCACCTCTGTTAAGACTCACCTCCTTTCCTGCTCCAGGAAACTCTGGACTATGGGGGAGGAGCCATTCTTTTGCAGGTAACCTACACACTCACCTCAGGTTCTCATCTGGCTATATGGCCACAAGCAATCCCAAAATGGGCTGAGGTATTTAGATTTTTCCATTGTCACCTTAGTACAAGAAATAATTTTCCTTTTTTTAAGTTTATTTATTTTTGAGAGAGAGAGAGAGAGAGAGAGAAAGAGAATGAGAGAGAGAGGCAGAGAGACAGGGAGAGAGAGAATCCCAAGTAGGCCCTGCAGTGCCCACACAAGCCTCAACGTGGGGCTTGAACTCACAAACCGTGAGACCATGACCTGAGCCAAAATCAAGACTCAGATGCTTAACCAACTGAGCCACCCAGGCATCCCTACAAGAAAGAGTCTTCTAATACATAAAGGTGAGCAACAGTAATGTGTGTGAACAGTAATGTGAGTACGAGCTCCTTCTAACTGAAAAGGTTTACATGAGGCATTGTAGTTCCCTGCCCAAGTGGTTGAGGAAATGGTTCCTGAATGGTGGGAATGATTAGCCCCAAAGGCCTCCTCTCCCTTCCAAATCTACGTTTCTATTATTTTTACAGACCACAGTCTGAAAAGTGAAAAGGACAGGTCCAGCATTTGGAAGCCATACAGAGTAATGATATACCTTCCCCTCTCCGAAGAAAAGAGAGATTTGTTTTCCCTAAGGTGGTAAGTGATTCTATGGGGTTCTCAAGGTTAACCATTTGGCCCTAACAGGGCTCTATGTAAGCCTAAAAAACATTTACTTTAAACAAAAAAATCTAGGGAGAATGACACCACATTTTCTTTAGTAATATTTCCTATCCTAAGCTGCTTCCTATCAAATATTGACACCTACGTCATCCAGACAATTCTAGAAGCACTTATTTTAAGGAGTAAGTAAATCTCCTTAAAATGGAAACTTGAGTCAGGCTTCCTGTTGGCAAATGCTAAACCAGGCATCTGACAATGATGATCCTATTATTCAAATATTCTGTAACTTCCAGAAATGCAAATCATATCACCACACCGTGTCAAGGTGAAGCTTCTGCTCTGTTGGCAGGGGCAAAGGAATGTGTGGAGGGAGTTGTCTGTCAGGTTAAACAGACAGAGGTGGCCAAAAGACAAACCACTTGCACAGATTCGTTCCCTAGAGCAAGAGACCTGGGCAGAATATTTATATTACTTACCCAGTAGTATATGTCAACTAATTCAAAGAACCTTTACATTCCAAGGAACTATGGAGATTGTCCATTTACCAACCTGTGGTGTTACACACCATCAAAATTCAAGGTTACAGAAAAGCCAGCTTCCTTATGTGACAACTACCTAGAACAGGGCCAAGGTCTGGTAGTAAAGCCATTGTCACCCCAAGAGTCATTTGTGCCAAAACTGGCCACAGATTCCTCTCTATTAGATAGCTAATACATTTTTTACAGTGGAAAATTATAGCCATAAAACCTGTTTATTCCCCCCTTCTTTATGAGAATCATGCAAAAAGGTAGATGACCTGTGTATGCAATTTAACCTTGGCTCAAATAAATATCATCATTAACATCCTCCTGAAAGCTATACTCAGAAGGCTTTTGCCATCTTGACGTTACCATTTCTTCAACAACATATTTTCAGATAACTATGCACTGACATGGAAGAAGCCTCAATGAAAATGATTCCAGGGATAACAGGCTATGATTTAATGTGTTCATTCATTTATTCGATTCTTCATGCATTTGACATTGACTTATCAAGCACTTACTATGTGCAGGGCACACATTTAAGTATAGGTCTGAGCAAGATCAACAGGCTCCAGTCAGTGTAGGACTTTTGTGTCAACTTGGTATGTCAGTGGCATAATGTAGTTAGGCAGAGGGTATGATGGCAAAGAGAGCATGTGCAGAGAGAGAGGACTTTATCTCAGCTTGACAAAATGCAGTTGTCAGCTTAAGAGCAGAACTGGAAGATGGACAGTCAGAGGCAAAGACATGAGAGCACAAGAAAGTCATTTGGTTTTATGGAGAGTATGGGGGTGGGGAGGAGGGTGACAAAACATGAAGCTAGATAGCAGGTAGTGATCAGAAAATAAAGAGTCCGCATCACTGTGTTCTGATGAATCACCGAAGAATTTTAAGAAAAGTGATGGCTGGCAAAACTACAAAGATCAACCCATCGCAGCAAGAACAATGCACCATAATGGGAAAAGAGAATATGAGAGGAAAGAAAAACTACTACAAGGTCACAGCAAGGAAAATTCTGAGTCAATCATAGAGAAGTTGGAGGAGAACAATTTAGAAGGCAGATTTGTGTTTTAGTTGACCAATTAGATTCTTCCTGACGGGAAGAAGGAGGAATCTAGGCTTATTTACTGGCATCTGGCTTGGTCTAGGACTGTGGTATTCAAATTTAGGTACACATTAGAATTAATTATGGAGCCTTTTAAAATATCCAGCCTGGGCCTTTGTCCCAGAGGTCTGGGATGGAGCCCAGGGAATTGTATTCGTTAAAAGCTCCCTGGGTGACTAAACATGTGGCCAGGTTTGAGGACTCGTGAGGGTGATGGTACTTGGAGGAGAGAGGCCATCGTTGCATAGAGGAGAAAAGAGGATGTTCGAGGGTTTCTCTCTGGTCCTGCTGAAGTTGAGAAGGAGGTCAGTCAATTTCTGGGTCAATACAGATTTCAATGTCTGTACTATTGTCGCAACATTTGCCACAACGTCTGTTGAAACTCGTGCTCTGATCTTGGGTTCCAAACGTATAGCTCCTTTTAGTACTGGAAATGTGGCTACAGTGTGAGAAGAGAAAACAACCGCAGGGAAACATTTCTGCAGGAAAAGGGCATAAAAAAAGGGTCAAGGATATAACAGCAGGAACTTGAATCAGAATCCAAAACGATGTGCTACATGTTATATATGGGGGAAAACTTCCCAACCCAAGCATCTTTCCTTTGGCTAAACTCTTGAACTAGAGACCTGTTTGGAGCTGAAACTATTCTGGGTGCCCTGGGGCACTGAAGGGATTAATGAATGCTTGTGTAGCCAGCCCATCCCAGAATCCAATGAATAATCAATGGTACTTTAGGCTCCTCAGGTAATTGAATTGCAAACCTGGTAATAAGGAGACTTGTATCCATGGTGGAATTATACCCTATATCTACTTCTTAATGTAGATATTGATGAAAGACCCCTGCTCATATAGATTATTTACTTTCTATCTCTATTAAAAATTGAGCACAGTAAATTGGCTGTTTGGTAATAAGTATTTTCTGCCTATACCTTGTGCTTAATGAAGTAGAACTTACAGCTATAAAGCCCATCTCTTCCACCTCCCACCTATAGGAAACAAGTACAAAGGTTACTCTAATCTCTTATTTACTTTCAGAATTGGAGTGAGGAACAAATATGTGATCACTGGTGTAATGTGGGCTTGAGGAAACCAAAAAGTATCTGTTTCAGAACTCTAAAACTGTACAGTGGATTCAGAGAAATTTAGTCCTGGGAGAAAATCATATTTCTCTTTTACTAATTCTTAGTGTGAATTCCCAATATAAAAAGTAGCATGACATTTATCAGTAACTGAGAGTGTCACTGTCCAAAACTCCCACAAATATTTATAGTAATCCCATTTGAAATTGAGACAGGGAAACTGAAGGACTCCATAAAAATCTGCTTTTTGCTCCTTTTCCTCCTGCTTCTATTCTTGCTAGGACCTGCACCCCGCCCTACTTTACACATGCCTTGTAATTCAAATAGTGTATGTCTTAGTAAGGGATAAGGAGTTAATGATTTCTCTACAATAGATAACATCTAAGAAAAGGCCAGATGAAGCCATCCTATGCATATTCCAGACCACTGGAGCTAGACCTCTCCAGGTCAGGACTCTCTGGCTCCAAGGAGAAACACCTGGGCCCTCATCTTTGTTCTAACTGGTTCCTTGATGCCTGAGAGAACATGTACACCAGACCACAATCTTCAATAAAAACCCCAGACTCCAAACAAAGACAAGACTCGTGCTCCTTTCCAGAGTTTCCCAGACACTCCGTCTATACCTGCTCTCTATATGGTCAGTAAACTCTGTTCTCACTTCCTGCTGGCCCAAGTTTGATTTTCATTCTATGCAAAGCCAAGGACCCTTCTGGTTGGTCCTGCAGGACTCCCTCTGGGTCCCCAGACCAGGCCTGCCAGCATCAAAGCTACAGAGAATGGGCATGCCTCTTTCTAAGGTGTACGTACAACCTTAGACAAGTTTCTTAAATCTCTTTTAACATCAGCTCTCTAGTCTCTAAAGTGGGCTAATAATTACTCAAAGTGGGCTACTCATACCTCAAAGGGCCAAGTGAGTTAACTAGTCTATAGAAAGCACTTACAATATTGCATGGAACAGAGAGGCAGTCTATTAGCTAGTGTTATATACCTAGTGTCATATTCCTTCAAAATTCAGGCCTGAGCTTCAACCTTAACTATGACATGAACCATCTCCACGAATAGCACAAGTCATAGTCGATATATCTAGTTGTCACCATCTGTATGAAACAAATAACTACTCTAAATAATCTCTAAAATCCTTCTAACAACATATAATTCTATACTTTCCCATTGCCTCTTATTCTTTTTCTGTTTCAGTATTGAGAAGTGCAAGCCCACTGACCCAATTAAAAGAGGGATGCAGAGACCCCGAACACAGTGAAGTGAGGCTTTAATCAACGTTCTTGCAAGAGTGGGTGTCTGATGGATAGGCACACTCGGGGCAGTTACAACAGACAATTTATCTCCTAGCATGCACGTCCCTCCCTTTATTCTATGGCACATGCTTATTCCAAAGCCCATGAAACTAACTCCACAAAACAGAGTGGAGAAGAAGAACCAGGAAGTAAAGTGTCTAAGGGTTTGGGACTCCATTGTGGCAGGGGTGGCAGAGGTGGGGGAGGAGGGGGAAGGGGTTGTATATATTTTCAATAGTTAACTAGGCATCGTTAACTAGACAGCACGACTTTTATTTGCTATTTCTGAAAATGAATCATCTCCCTTACTTCTCACAGTATTATTTTTGTTACCCTGTGCATTCTTCTGGTTTAAGGAATATGATCAATCACTGTTGCTAAGAACTAGAAAAGTATACACGAAAAAGCTGATATAGGCCTTGATATTAATTTCCTATGCTACTGTAAGAAATTATTACACATGCAATGGCTTAAACAACACAAATTTATTCTCCTTAAGTTCTGGAGATCAGAAATCCAAAATCAGTCTCGTTAAACTAAAATCAAGATGGCGGTAGGGCTGATTCCTTCTGTTGACTCTGGGGAAGAATCCATTTCCTTACCTT